CGTGAGGTGTGTACGTGCTCTGGCGTAGTTTACGTTAATGGGTGTGTTGTCGCGGGAGGAGCAAACGACAGACGCAGTTTATTAACAGAAAATAAACAAAGTGTCCAGAAAAAAGGGAATCAAGTGTCCAAAATAAACAGGGGATCCGGTGTCCTCGTCGTGCTGCGGGGTTCGTGAAGGGAAGGGCAGTGGTCAGGAAGGAAGGGTCCAGGTAAGGGGCGGAGTCTGGCGGCCGCACTCACTCCCCTCTCCAGCCCGGGGCGCGAGGGGCGGCGGCTTCTTCCAGCGGCTGCATCCTTCTCGTTGCCCACGGCATGCGAAGGGACTAGACGGCCCGGCATCCTTAAACGCACTGCAAAATGCAGGAAAAAAGCCCTCCGTGTATCTGCAGCGCTCACAAGCAGCTCTCTTAAAAGCAATAAAAAGAAGTGCCATTTCCAGTGCTGAGGCTAATAAGCAGCTCTTGAAACAGTTCTGCCGAGGCTGTTGGAATGACGCGTTAATAACAAACCTTCAGCTTGAGGGTAAACGAGACAGTCCACCTTCATTCTCCGAACTGCTATTGCAGTTGCGCAGTGAAGAGAATCGACATTCTGCCAAAGAGAGCCGTATGCGTCAGCATCTGAATGTGCATCGTCAAAAAGTCAGCTCCAATGTGGTATCCACAAGCTCTTTTGACTGGGAGCAGGGTGCAGCATTGGAGGGAAGTGAAATTGCAGAACTGAGACAGCAAGTCACAAAACTTCAAAGTCAGCTCAGTAAGCAGAAAGCTAAAAAGACAGAGAAACCTGTGCCACTGCAAAGTGATGATGTGCTTGAATTGAAGAAACAGATTGCAGAACTTCAGAGTCAGTTCACAAAGCTAGGATCCCAGAAGCCTCTAAAGCAAGAAGGAGACCGTGAGACCAAACAAGCTTGCTCTAAGCCCACTGCTTCAGCTGTTGTGCAAAAGTCCCAAGATAGACCTAAGCCAGGTTACTGTTTCCGCTGTGGCGAAGATGGACATATCGCATCTGGTTGCGAGAGCGATCCCAACCCACCTTTAGTGAACGAAAAACGGAAGCAGCTGAGAGAACGACAAAGTCTGTGGGACCGCCAGCAGTGCCCAGTGGTCTCAGAGTCTTTAAACTGGAATTAGCCCCTGTAGCGAGACGTACAAGGGCTACCATATGCAAAACTAGTCTCAAAGGATCCACAGGAAGGAGTAGTTCTGAGTTTTCCCATAGTAGGGGTCCGTTGGCCTGCCTCCCAAAGGGGCTGATAGGGGCAAAGTGTACTGCTCAAGTATACATAGAAGGGAAACTATGTTCCTGCCTCCTGGACACCGGGTCGCAAGTGACGACAATCTCCCAATCCTATCATGAGCAAAACCTGCCTGAACTAAGTATAATCCCTTTGGAGAATCTTTTGGAAGTGGAGGCTGCGAATGGACAGGTAGTACCCTATTTGGGGTATGTAGAAATGAGGGTCAAGTTTCCTGAAGATTTTCTTGGGAGTACTGTGGAAGTGTCGACACTTGCACTGGTTATTCCAGATACCAGTGGCACCGCTCAGCCAAAAGTGCTCATAGGTACCAATACTTTAGATTTGGCATATGGGAAACACCTCAATGACTCTGTCTGCAAATCCATTCCATTCGGCTATAAGGCAGTAGTGAAAACAATAAGGACTCAAAGGACTCAAAGAGTAAACAGCAGTGTAGGAGTTGTTAGACTCCCAAGCGCTGATGCCGCTGCAGGGCAGAAAGGGCAGAATCTTGTCTGTGTAATTGCGGATGTCCATGCCATACAGAGAGTAATTTCAAATAAGAGTGCTCAGAAGGGAGACATGTCCTCAAAAGTAGAGGAGAAGTCTACAAAGGAACTCTGTTTTGATTTCGGCGACTCTCCATTACCTAAAGAATGGAAGGAGGGGATTAACCAGAAGTTACGGGACATGTCAGAAGTTTTTGCTGTACATGATTTTGATGTTGGACGAACTGACAAGGTTAAGCACAGCATCAAGCTACATGATAATACTCCTTTCAAGCACAGGGCCAGACCCATACATCCTGATGACTTTGAAGCGGTTCGTCGACATCTGGAAGAGTTGCTCGAGGCTGGAATCATCCGGGAATCGGAATCATCCTTTTCGTCACCCATTGTGGTTGTCAAAAAGAAAAATGGCGATGTGAGGCTGTGTATCGATTATCGTAAATTGAACACACAGACCATAAAGGATGCTTACGCACTTCTGAATCTCGAGGAAGCCTTTTCGGCACTCCGTGGATCTAAGTGGTTTTCAGCGCTTGATCTTAAATCTGGCTATTGCCAGATTGAAGTGGAGGAAAAGGATAAGCCCAAAACTGCTTTTGT